TTTTTTTTTCAAAAAGTTACCAGCGTTTAATTCAATGCTATTGCTCAGAAGTGATATTTGACAGTGTAAAAATGAATAAGAACTACTCTGCATTGCTCTTATTTCTCTTTTCAAGCTAGCCGGTATAGACAAAACATGTTGCTTAAAGCCAATACAAGGTGAAAGTAAGTAATGTACCACATTTTTGCTGTGTGAACGCGTTCGTGTACACAGAACAGTCATAAGGCGTTTTACAAGTAAACATTTTTTCTTTTCGTTTTTTTTTCTGAGAAGGTCAGACTGTTATACCTAGATACAGCTTAACACTAGTAAGTTCTATATCTTTTGGAATTAAGTAGCTAATGTTAGCTGTGAAATGCGTGTACTGTAAATGAGGACAAGGCCGGCGTGAAAAATTAGCCTTAGTCTCAAACCCCCTATTATGCAGCACTGTATTCAATTTTTGGTAAATTTCTCATTAAATTTCTGAATCGTCTTAGAAGCGTTAGTTTAGAAGTGCTGAATGACACACCGATGATATTATGGCAACAATCTTTACAGTATACAGAAAGTAGCATTTAATGAGCAGTTCTCCTAAACCTGTTTATTGCACTGCTGCATTGAATACTAATATCAAAATTTGCTTCACGTGAAGAAAATTATCGCAACAATTTAAAAAGACAATACAGACAGATAAACTAACTGCTGAGCAAGAATTCGCATCAGTTTACTAAATTAAAAATGCTTTTAACGGAGGGTAAGATGTTGGTTTGAGACGAGACGCATGTAGGTTTGCACACGGCTGTCGAACAGTTTGACTTTTTGTAATTCTGTCTAAATAATTGGTTTCATCGACTAATTCGATTTCTGTCGTTTCTGAAAGCTTAATTTTACCACACAGAATTGAGAAACTGATGTACCTTCTCTTTTGCTTTGACTTACAACTTTGTAATGATTGTAAAGTGTTTAAAATTCTTGCTAAGAAATGTTTTTGTTTTATTGTGATAGCGTTACTGCTAATTTTATGAAATTGGCTAACGATTGCTCACAGTATCAAGCCTCAAAAAAATTTTCCATGTTCAAAGCGAAACACCTGAAAAGAAAGATGAAGTTTATCTGCAAACATTTGTACAAAACTTAAGGTACTCTTAGATACCAATTTTTAAAAGTATAATCATAATACAGTTTATTATTTGAGGTCACTTAGCCACTTATTCAATGTCTTCGAAAACATTTGCACTGTTTTTTTTGGCAAAAAGAATGGAATTTTTGGCTGTAAGATTAAACTGTGAAACTGGAATTTCGAAGGTTTTTCAGAACTGCGACGGAGAAGAAAGTGACAGTTGTGGTCTGGAGCTAGAGCTAGAGTTTGCAAAGCTGGTTAGGTTACAAGACACGGTCTACCAATGTAATTTTAAAAGACAACGAACTAACCTGAATACTGTAAACCTGAGAAGTGGTCATTAGAAAGCTCTGTGATAGCAATTGTTCGCTAGTTGCGGCTAATCATCAGAGGTCGTAGTCGTCGACGTGTTTCAATTTTTAAGAACTGTTGGAAAGGCAATGTGATTTTATTAATTTTAAGCTATAATGTAATAAATTGTTCTCTAATTTTAAGAGGAGTCAGCTTTAAAACTGCTCCTCTATAAAATTCACTTTTTCAATTATTAAATTTAAAAAAAATTACAACGAAGTTTTAGCTTGGATAATTTTCAAAGCAGAGGACGTTTTGCTTACTGAATTTACAGCAGGCAACGTCTCACTTGCCAAAAAGGAAAATAGTCAAATTCTACCTTCCTCTTGAATGTCTTTATTCGCAGCAGAATAATGTTGAAAATACTTGTGAAGTATCCCATACTTTTTATGATGTGATCCTAAAAATTCTAATTTGACAACCGATCCGACATGGGAGAAAAGTAAGCTAACTTTTCTGCTGTCAAAGGTGCATATAGTTTAACAAAAACTGGGAAGTACTGTTGCAGTGATTCAAAGCTAAAGTTATGAATTTTCACTGCTTTTTGAATTTTCGAGTGCCAGGTATACATTCTTTTGCTTTAACAAATACTGAAGTATCGAAAGATGGCGAAATTGTTAGGTGTTACCTATTTTGCACCAAAGGGTCTATCGCCCAAGTATTAATGCAGCCATAGATCAAATAGTCACTGCTCTTTTTGGGGCTGTTTTTATCTCTTTATATACGAACTGTTTAGTAGTACTCAGGAGCTTTTTATTAATTCACTTCTAGGTGAGTCTTTTTTCATTATCAGCTGGGTGTCTTCGCTTCTATCAGTCATTTTAGCCCGCAAATTCACTGTAACTACTTTATGCTCTACGTTTTCCTTGTATTTAAAATCTGTTTATTTTTTTTTTGTCTTAGTTTCTACTTGTTTTTCTTTTTGTTCTAGGAAAGCTTTTTTTTGATACATTTGGCTTTCCTGTCGCAGTCTTAATACTCACGTCACGTTTAGGTTAAATAGTGAAGTGAGAAAAATAATGTTTCCTCATCAAAGCTTTAACTCAAAAAATGAAAAAGACGATGGCATTTTCCACACAAAAATTAATTTGTGATCTTTAAAAAAAAGAACCAGCCTTCAAAACAGATTCAGGCCATGTTTTTCACGAAGGAGAAAATGCTCGAAAATTTGCAAACACTCATAACCAAGTATGATATTACAGCAGACATCTTTATCTGAAAACAAGAGTATAGAAATTTGATAGCAGTATCAGGTGGCAAATAAACCACTGAATATAATGTCAAAGATGCTTCCACTTAAAAAAATATGAAAGAGTTGAATAAATAATCACATGCGACTGCAATTATGTACATAAATGAGTAAAACACTGTATACGACAAGGTATACTTTCAGTATGCTGAAAAGGCTAAACACACAAGAGCTCATTCACATGCAAAGAAGCTAGGAAGAACTATTTTAATAAAACGCGCAGCAAGAGTACAAATGGTATTAAGTAAAAAAACTAAACCTTATGTAAGACGCAATTCTAAAATGGCGTAGAAAATTTACTTAAAAAATCTACACAAGTAGAAAGGTCATTATGAAGACCACTGAATTGAAACTGCGAGTATTATTTATAAACTTTTTAACGTACAAATTAATTTCACAGTTCGTCGTAGCAGACAGCTTTAACGTTTAATGCGCTGTGGTATCTCGCTATTTTGAGAAAAAATATTGGAGAAAAAAATTATTGAGTGACGCAAGATGCAGTGGTTTGTGCTGTAGGACCCCGGGCAGGGCTTGGTGGCCGGGCTTTGTCAAGGGCAGAGAAATTTGATTTGCATATAGCTGAGCATTTATACTGCTTTTACAGTTATACTTTTATTTCGCTTTTTTCTAAAATTGGAAGACCCGAAAGAAAAATTGCATTAACGTCCCTCATACGAGAGAGTTTCCAAAAATCAAACTGTCATAAAGCAGATTCATCAGGAGTCAATGAATAAAGCTTGCACTTACAAACAGAGCCTGGAGGTTGTAAATGGTGTTCCGCTATTTGCGATGGAAGGTGGTACAGCGCATTTTCTCCATTTATCTTTTTCCATATGAATTCGTACATATACGAATTCAAGAGTGCTCTTTTTGTCCTAGACCGTGATTTATGAAAGTCCTTGAATTTCTGCCATAGAGACTTAATGGTGTTCTTGCAAGCACCGGTCTGAAGATCAGTGAAGTGCATACTGTAGTTAACAGTCTCATGCTGATACCCCTCGCGCATATACTTGATGGTGCTAAGTCAGACACTATAGTTGTTCCTGGAACAACATACTGCCTGATCAGTGGCAGAAGGGCAACAGCATCTCGTCGTCTCACTGGAATGGCGTCAATCCTTTTGCGAATTTTTGTAAAAGAAAATAACAGGTTTACAAGTAGAGAAACGTCGAATTTTATTAGAGAGGTTTTTACCAGAGAGGTCTTCAGAAACGAAAATTTCAGCAGTAATGAACGGTATTCAGTTAATTTTTGTTAAAGATGCTTGGAAAAGTTCCGAAATGTAAAAACTAAATTTTTATTAATTTTCTTCTTTAGCAAGGATATTTCCTTCAGTTGTTTTAATATAAACTTAGTGCGTTATTAAGCCCAAAAGAAAGAGTAGAAATGAATGTTTGTTTTAAAAAATACTTTTTAATAAACGAAAGTAACTTGAACGAAGAAAGTTTAACCTTAACGACAAGATTAAAAGAGTTTTTTTACCTAACAAATATTCATAATGTTTAGACTTCCACCTACAGAAGTAACAAAAGAAAGGTAAAAAACATTACATTTATTACTACGTTAGATAAAAAACAAAGAAAAAAAATTTACGATTTGATTATAAGCTCTGATCTTTACGACAAACACCAGCTTCATCGAAACTAACAGGTTCAATCAGCAGTTGCCTAAACATACATATTACATCCATTTTGCCAGAAATGTTATTTTTTTTTTTGCAGTTACAGTTTTAAAAGAAAAATACAGCATGTTATGAAGTAGCGATAATAAGTGATGAATGCATAAGCAAGAGATGTAACAAGTCTGAGCTCTTTGCCTCTGTAACTCTTTGATGACGTCACGTAAGCATTTATTTCTACAAACTTTTTAATTCAGACTTTATTTTTACAAATGAAGGTAAATCGCTTCATTACAAAAAGCAAGCTCTAGTCATCAAAATGACTTTGGAAATGACGGTGTGGAATATGTAGAGCGACGCGGAGATTTTTGCAGCGTCTGGTAAAAGAAATGGGGACACAGGAATTTTAGCTCTGTGAAAGGGGCTATGGCTATAAAGTGCCGGAGAAGAGGCTTCCTGCACCCTGAATTCCGCTAGCAACGTCACGTTTTGGTCTTTCCGCCTTTGTGCTCTTCATTTTTTCATTTAGGTTTGTTCATTCTTGTTTCTTTCTGCAAACAATATATTTTTAAAGTTTTATAAGGAACAATTGAACGAACGTGATTCTTTCAGCACGATTTTCTATACGTCCTGAGCAAAACAGTTTATGAAACAGTGTCGTAAATTATGAAACGGTGTCGTAAAAACACTGAATTTTTAGGCTCCCGTTTAGATACTATACAACAATCATCAAAACAACAGCTTAGAGCTCAAGCGATAGAATTAGCAAAGTTTTGAACACGTTTATTACTTCCTTCAGCAGGAGGTGATTACACCATCAAGGCTCTTCGCTTTCAAAAATTATTAAAGCTGTGGTTAATGAAACTTTTCTGTAGTATTGAAAAAGCGCTCTAAATGGAACCTAACCAAACATAGTTGATTTAAAATCTTCAGGAAAATTGCAGAAGAAGCTTTTGACTGATTATCAGTCAAATTTTCCTAATAGAAATTTCTCCGTTTGATGTCAATCTTCATATGAATTCTTTTCCTGGTAATTTTAATTAGCTGTTTAGAACAGCACACCGTAATTTTAATTTATCTTATGACGAATTGAATAAAGCATTAGTTTTTGACAAAAAAAGGCATTTGTTTCTGAAACTTTCACTTACAAAAGAGAAAGTTTCTAAATTAATTAGCTGTGTTTAAGCTTTCTTCTTCTTTTAAAATTCTGAAACATTACTTATTGTGCTTTTATATGCACAGAAAGATAACAGAAAATTGAATACTTTTACAGCTCGGTAACTATCTACCTCTTTATCGTTATTACCTTAAAATTAACTGTACGCATTTACTAAAAAAAAATTACCTATTATTTTTCTGCTCATTTCTGTACTGCACATTCGTTTCTGTTCTCAACGCGGAACTGAAAAAGTTTTTAAATTAATGTCAGGCTGAGACCAATGCTTTGTCCCACGTTTGCTTGTGATTTACGTTATTCATTATGCTTTAATGCTTTAATTTGATATTACAACTTTTGTTTTCCGTCAAGTCTACAAAAGCCATCTATAAAGTAATAAAAAAATTTTTTTAATGAAAGTTTATAATCTTTATAGCTTTTTTGAAAAAATTCTTTTTACTTTACGGATAGTTCTTATAAACTTGAAGAAAAACTTGTAGCAAATAAAACAGAAAAACATTTTTGGTTAAATGTGTACAAAATCTCGTACAATTTCACCAAAAAAAAGTTTGTCTCTGTAATTATTCTATTTGTTCTGTAAAATAAGGCCAATTTGCATAAAAAGCACTTTTTTAGAGGCCTCTTATTAAAACTACTGTTTCTTTTTAATGATACTAGCCGGCATATCACTAAACTTTACTCAAAAAACGCTTCTGAAACTGGGATGAAAACTGATCACAACGCTTATTTAATGACTTGCAAGTTTATTGCAAAAGAACCGGTTTGTGAAGAAACAAAAAAACTTGTATTTTTTATTAATTATAAAAAAAACAATTTATTTGGCTTTAAAACATAATTAAGCTAGACTTGACTGCTACGGCGATAAATCTGGTTGAATAACTATGCCGAATATTCTGTCAGATTGTTATTTCTTATATCTGACATGCCAATCTTCTCAGTATTGCAACAAGTTTTATATTGCTTTTTGAACATATCTTACCAAAGAAAAAAACCAATTTCAACTTGACTATTGTTGTACAATTGTCGCAGAAGGCTATTCGACTTCAGAAAACAATTTTTTTGACCTGAATTCGTACTGTGCTGAAAAAGAAGTAGAATGATGCCAATTTTGCTTCTTATTCTCTCTTTTTTCCTGCCATTTGAAAGCAGTAAGTTTTTATCGTATACTTTCAAAAACTTTTCGTATTTTTAGCAGACAGTCTTTATTTTATCTTCTCTATTACGACTGACAAAAACAGGAAAAAACTGTTTTTGGAAATTTTGAAATTACTGAAGATCAACTTTAAGTGATAGTAGCAAAAAGTAGTTACAGTCAGCAGTTTAGTTTGAATATCTTCTCACCTGAGAACCAGGAATCTTTGGCTACTTTTTTGTCGTCTAGAATATACGTATACATCACCAGTGGTAACAACAGTTTAGGAGGTTAACAGAAAATTTTTATTAGTTGAATGCTTAGTTTGTGAGATTCTTAAATTTTGGTCAGACGCTGTCACCGACTTATTTTTTATCCCATGTGTCTCTTATTTCATACATACACAGTATGTTACTTTTTATGCATTTTCAAACTTATCATTGAATTGAGGTTGTTAATTTTGATAAAGATTTAGGCAAACTAAGGCTTAACTTTAAGCTGTTCTTAGTAAAATTTTTCTGTTTATACAGTTTTTAATTTATTCTTTTTTAGGTGACGCACAAAAAGCGATATTAAGATACTTTACTGCAGAGCAATGTAAAAATAATCCTTGCCTAAATGGTGGCAAATGTGTTGTTGGAAAACACGCCTGTGAATGTTCAAATGGGTGGATGGGCAAATACTGCCACAGTACGAACTCAAGTTTTTTTCTTTTTTGTTACTCCACTATATTTCTTGGTGCTAATAACTATCTTTAGGACACTGTAGAGATATATATAAAACGTGTCAAATATGGGCTCAAGAAGGAAATTGCAATATCTTGAAAACTCATACAACATTTTTTGAACTAAACTGTGCTGTCAGCTGTGAAAAGTGCACCCAAAATACCAGCAACAGTCAGTCAATTGTGTTACCTGTTGTTATTAAAAATAAAATAGAAATTTTTAATTATCCAGGAAAACTGTAAAAAATTACTTTAGTACTTAGCGCAGTACCTGTTCCACCAGCGTTAGAGCCACTATTTTTCATGGCTGGTGTGTGGCGATCATTAGCTGGCAAAAAATTACGCTTTCCTTCTGATATGCATGAAGACCATTACGAAGAAATTTTGAAAATAACACCTGCTGAAGTACCAATGTTTGGTGCTCCGTCGTACAACTACACGTAATATTTAAATTAAAAATGACAACAAACTAGATGTTTTATTCTTGATAAGTAAAATCACAGTAGACCGTGAAGATCGTTTAGCACTTTTCTCGATTATGTAACACCGTTAGTCAGTTTACTTCAATAACAAATTGTCTTCAATGAATGAAAAAAGATGTGCTACAGCTAAAAAAATCTAATTTTTGTTGAGCTAATGTTTTATTTTCATTTTTAGAATGCAAAAAAATTTTACAAATTTTACCTGCATTATGCAATATTTATTTTGGAGAATTTTTATCAAAAAATACAGTCTTTTTAATGTAGGCATCTAAATTTAATAATATTTATGTCGATTCCTGACAGGTTTTTTAAGTCTGTTTTGACTGTGTTTGCTACTACCTTTAACAAATCGTCATTATCGATAGTTATCAAAAACTGCCTTAACTTTTGCAAACAGAGAAGGAACTGATTTTCTATAAACTTTGGCAACTTCTTTTTGGTTGTAAAAGTAGATCTAAAGATTATATTTTGTACCTGCAGTCAAACAGTTACAGAGGCTATTAGCTAGAATAGGAATGAGAACCTCTAATAGCTAAGTTTGAAGAAATCATTATAGATATCCACCCTTTTTAATAACTAAATACATTTTTCTGAGACAGTTAT